AAACACCAATTTATTGAACAAGTTTATTCAAAAAATAACATTCCTCAATTTATATTGCAAAAATTAAATGTTAAGAATTAAGTGTGTAAAGTGCTTAAACATTTCAAGTATCAGCATTTTTAAAACGTGATTAGAAAAACTGGCGAAAGTTAACACTTTAAATCATGAATTGCCTCACTATATATACACTATTTGCAGAGTGATGTTTTGCTGCTTAAACTCTGTTTAAGGTGCATTTTTGTCATAAGCTGTAATGCCATATGTTTTGTTCTGTACTTTTGAACAACTCTGTTGGTCAATAAAGGGAGAAAACAAATTTCTCCACAGTAGGACAAAGGTGCATCTACCGGTTATCTTAATAAAAACAGATTGGCGCACGGCAGTGACGTCATTAAAAGCGCTGGTTAATTAGCCGCAGCTTGTCTATTTACGCCTAGAAATCCCAGAGCCGCTCCAAACGAACAGGGGAATCACGTTAATGATTCCTAACAAAACCTTTCGACATTGAGATGTTTTGGTGCAGATAATGTCTTATTTCGAGGCTGCACCATGGGTTCCCGTCCGCACCCGTTATATGGATATACACTGACGGCGATTTGCCGATGGATCTAAATACCCCGGGGAATCCAAGTAGCACCAATGTTGTCAGCGTGAGTAAACAAACGTACTGCATGCTAGAAATTAAGTCCGGGTTGCAATAAACGGGAGTTTCCTTTAAGCACATAAGCGTGAATATACAACTACGTGTCGAACTTGGTATGCTAATTAAGTTGGGCTGTGAAGCGCCTCCCAAATTCGCTGTTTATGTTTTTGTTTATTTATTTGGCAGACAAAACTTGGATCGGAGACAACTCGCGTGGGAAATTGCAATGTAGCTACGCGGCGTCTTCTTCTGTTTGTCTGGGAGGCGGAGGCTGCTTTACAGCATCTGGCTGTCGTGCGTGTCGGTGTACTTGAAGAAGGCTGTGTATAATAGTCCATAATATCGATACCACAGGGATGGAATATCTAATCTAGATACCACTTTCAGTATCGATTTATATCTAGGTATCGATTTTTTTGACAACACTAGTTCTGGGTGAAAATGATGTTTTGCGGATAACTGAGTTATTTTGAGAGAAACAGCATCAAACGCATTTTGTCGAGATCTACCTCACCCAATCAGAAGACCCCCGTTTGGATCCGAAGTGTACAGGTGATGGGTTTCCTCCAGGCACGAGGTTGGTAGAAAAACCTCGAGCACAACCAGATCGGTCCTGGGATGTCTTCTTGGGTCACTCGGTGTATGAAGCGTTTGGCAGATGAACGTTCTCGTCTTTAACTTAACTTCAGAAATCAATGACTCTGGTAGAGTCTTTCATTAGCTGGTTTACGGTTCCGTTTATTCTTTGGCTATTGTTGTCTGCGTGACAGAACAGCAGGTGGAGGTTAGGAGACGGCCGTTCTCCTTTCCTCGTGGTGTTGGTTCAAGAACTGGACGTGAATCTGTGATGGTTAGTTTTTACCAAATGCTCTCAGAGTCAGAACCACTCCCTCTCTCTCCGGAATAGGGCTGGGGGTAAACGATTATTTTTAAAACGAATATTCTGACGATTATTTTATCGAATAGTCGACTATTCTAATGACTATTTATACAATTAATCTAATGATTATTTTTCTATTGCACAGCTAATAAAAACCAAAAAATCTCTAATAAATTCCTCCCAAAAATTGATAAATTGTTACTGTAAGAGAATAAACACTACAGGCCTTCCATTTTGTATAACACTGCTTTTATTGTGTTGCGGTTGGTTATGTTCTGGTGACGTGTAGAACTTGGGAGTGCAGGCTGCTGCCTGAGAGGTGGTTGGAGACGGACTGTCTCCATGCTGCTTTGTTTTGGTCACTTATGTGCGTGAGGCGAGTGGTGTTACGACTCTTCCTGGGGAGTTTGGCTCGTGTGCAAAAAGGAAGGGACAGTAATGTGGGATTTAAAAGTTAAAATGATGATCAGGTTTATTTACAACTACAAAAAAAAAAAAAAATCTTTTCATCCACAGGTTGGGAATAATAAAACTAATTCTGCCTGTGGGGAATTAAAACAAAAGTACAAATAAGTAGGGGTGTCCCGCTGGGCAAAGATTACAGGGTTTTGGACCAAAATAAGAATCTCCAAAGTTCCAAACTCTAAAATATCACCTTGAGTTTGGTTTAACCACCCAGTTTAAACTAAACCGAAAACCCACAACACTCTAAATGTAATAAAAGGGAGAACTGAACCACAAAAAAGATCAACTCTAAACCAAAACGTAACCGCTTATCCAAACGCAAGAAGCTGTTAGCGAAGATGCTAACAGTAGCTTTATCAGCATTAAGTTCAAGTTACCAAGTTTAAATAAACCAAAAATACCAGCAGCAAACAGACCAGCACAGAGGAGAGACTGCTACCACCAAAACAGCTCTCCTAATGTCTGAAAGAAGCTCCTTTATGAAGGGAGAAACGCTCCCGGTGATGTCCTACATCTGCGGTAGAGACGAAGCAGCGCATCTGACCCCGGAAGTTGTTGTCCGTTGCCGGGAGACGAAGGCGGGCAAAACACGAAAGGAACCTAGAAGCGGACGGACGTGGTTCCAGGTCTTCGGTATTTGGTGGAGATGTTAGTGAAGGCGGAGAAGAGGGCGAACTAGAGGAAAAACAGGCAGATTCCACCTCTATTTACAAACTCCTGGGGATGCAACAAGTAGGCGTGGTGCGTCGACTACCGGATCTGATGTCGACGAATTTTTAGAATCGAGCCGTCAATGTCATCGATGCGTCGCTACAGCCCTACTCCGGAAGAAAGCTTGCTCATGCGTCAAAAACATGTGATGCAGTTATTGTTTATCTGAACTGTGTTAGCTGAATAGGTGAGTTTGACCTTGTTGCTCAACACATCTTTAATCTAAATAATAATTATTATTATTATAACCAAAGCATAATAATCCATTTCATGTAATTAAAATACCTTTACATTGAACCAAGTGATCATGGTATGATGATTATATTAAACAGTAATAAGATCAATGAGTTTATTATTATCTAATTATTATCATCGTGGCTTGAAGTGTCCTTCTTGGGACGGAACAGCAGAAATGGTGTTATGACCTTGAGCAGACATCGTGGCTCCTTGGGTTAATCTGTGGATTCAGAAAGTACTGTTTGACCCAGCTTGACCCAGCTGGGCAAATGTGATCTTTGCCACAAATCAGAAAGCCTTCATCATGCTACAGTAGCATGGATACCTATAGGCCAGGGGTGTCAAATATGCGGCCCGCGGGCCGCATCCGGCCCGCAAGCAGGTTAAATCCGGCCCGCGAGACGGTTGTGTAAACTTTATTTTCATACTTTACAATGTAGAGTGAAAATAAACGTATCTTTGTGAGCAATTTTCCTCTGTAATGAGTATAAATAAAACAAAGCTGCGCTCAAGGCTCACACAAGAACTTGAGACACATCCTGAAGTTGGCTGCCACTCAGGATGTGACTCCTGATATTGATGTGCTGGTGAAAGCTAAAAGATGTAAAGTAAAATGAGTCAAATATACTTTAAGTGCTGCATGAAACTGATCTAGCCATGTGATCTCTAAGCTCTTTGAATCACTAAGGAATGTTGTTTTTATTTGTTGATTTTTTTATTTTCTATTTTTTCAAATTTTCAAGTACACTTCAGGTGTTGTACTTGTACGACACTGTCCTCAGGCTCCAGCCTCGTTTTATATTGATTGTATTAAAACAAAGAAAACAATCTGAAGTTGTTTTTTTTTTTAATTTACCGGTCCGGCCCACTTGGGACTAGATTTCCCTCATTGTGGCCCCTGAGCTAAACTGAGTTTGACACCCCTGCTATAGGCCCATTGCTCTGGCTAGCACTCTCTCAAAAGTCTTGGAAAGAACTCTGCTGGACAGAATTAATGACGCCTTAAAAATCACAGCCAATCAGTTTGGTTTTGAGTCTGAGCATGGTACAAACATGTGTATATATGCCCTAAAGGAGATCGTGACCAAATACAGAAACCAGAACTCCTCAGTCTCTATGTGCTTCATTCCAGCATTTCATTCATTGTCTCAGTTATCTTGTTTCAACCATCGTTCATCATCATTTGTTCATTATTGTTCCTAACCCTCAGCGCACGTCTGCCTGCTGCCCGTCCGCCCTGCGCTCACCTTTCCTGAAGTCCTGGACAATAACCCGTTCGACTCTTCAAGCCACCACCCTGCCTGCAAGCTCACCACCCCTTCAGATCTGACTCCTTCCCTCCCCCTCCAGCCCTCAGCTACCAACAATACAGTAAGCCACAACTCTCCGTTCACATCAGCTACCAGTCTGCAGCCAGTTAATTATCTCATTTCCAGAATCTCTCGAGCCCGAGACCATCACCACACGTTGTGTTCTCCCTGCGTCCGAGACTGATTCTCCGTGTGCTGGGTCAAAAACTCAACCCCGACATGTCAACTATTCATAAAGCTGCTGGAAAGAGGTGTTCCAAGATACATTGTACACATCCTGGTTTATTGTATGGAAAGCAAATGTTACACATAAAATGGGGTAACAGTATCTCGGAGCCATTTAAGGTCAGCAATGGAGTCAGACAAGGAGGCGTTCTATCCCCTCTTCTTTTTAACCTGTACATGTATGATTTATCAGTGAGGTTAAAGGTCAGCAGGACTGGTTGTGCAGCGGGTGGTGTCATAAATCATCTGATGTATGCAGATGATTTAGTGGTTCTAAGTCCGAGCACCGCTGATCTACAGCAGCTACTAGATATCTGCTCTGACTATGAAGTAGAACACAACACCAAGAATATTAAACATCTTGGTCATATCATCACTGAGGACATGAGAGATGATGTCATGTACAGGCAGTGCTGTATGTTATTCGCTCAGAGAAATACACTCGCTCCTAAGTTTGGGTCTTGTTCTGATAAAGTAAAGATAACCTTGTTTAAGGCTTATTTACATATCTGAAAGGTGGCAGCCCTACCTGTGTCCATGCTGACCAGATCCAGGTGGTGAAGAACACACGATGAATCAGTCCCAGCTGATGGATGATCCTGAAGTGGTAGCAGGTTTTCTTTAGCCGTGTTTAGCTAACAGCTGCAGTAGAAACAATTAGGAGAGCTGATTAAGATGCTGCTTCAGAACAACGCAGGAGATTAAAGATCTAACGCTTTGGTTCTGATCAGCTGAGGACAGATCCAGTCTGGAAAAGCGGACCTTTAGTCACCAGAGTTCACGGAGTAGAGCTAACCGCTTTTTCCTCCAGAGTCACACTCCGATTCGGGGCTTTTCCTTCGGAGAGTGTGAGCAGGATGGATCAGAGAGCGAGCAGCGATCCTGCATCATGACCAACTCAGATGAGCGAGTATGATAGAGGGAACCTCTTCAATCTGATTAAAGCAGCAAAACGAGCGCGTTTCTCAGAGAGACCAAAGGAACAGCAGCAGATCCAGAGGGCAGGAAGTCTAGAGAAAAGCTTTTCTGACCCACAACCTAATTCTGGAGCTCCGATTGTTACGAAGACTGCAGAATATCTTCTCTGGTTTTGGAAAGAACTCCACCAAGTTGTGGAGGAGGAGAAGAAAGGTTCCACAGCCTGGCGAGAAGATTTCTGCAACAGCAGCAGTTAGTCGCTTTAGCTGATCAACTCTCCCAGAGACTGAAGTGAAGACATTTTTACTGCAGAGCCTCAAATATTCTCCTCACACACCAGAACAACAAGCTAGCTCTGCTAGCAGCTTCCAGTTTCTGCTTCTTCAGGTTGTCGGTGACCAGCGTAAAGGTGCACTAGCGCCACCTGCTGGAACAGAATAAAACACACCTCTGTGTTCAGAATGGGACACATAACATGTGATATCTTCCTCAAACAAATAATTAAAGTAAAGACAAGTTAGTTTTACACCTTTTATAATAATTTTGTTATTTACTTTATTTCTATTTTAATGCTGTTTGTTTTTATCTCATCTGTTTTTCTTTGATGTAAAGCTAATTATGTGTCTGTTGCTGCTGCCTCTTGGCCAGATCGTTGTTGTAAATGTGAATGAGTTCTCTATCGACTCATCTGGTTAAATAAATAACATTTTAAGTTGTTTCTTCAAATGCACAAACAAGTAAAATAATTTTCCTTTTTGACGTTTCATTATCTAAATACATTTTATTTACTTATTTTTATATTCTTTATTTAACCAGGAAGCTTCCATTAAGATTAAAGTTCTTATTTTTGAGGGAGCCCTGGCCAAGAGGCAGCAAAAGATACAATCACAACATTTCTGTTACAGTTATGTGCAAAATTATAGAAGGCAGTTACAACCAGGGGCGTGGGACAAGAAGTAAGCCACAAGTTGTCTTATGTTGCAATCGTCACACTTTATTTTCCACATGCATTAGGAGAGATTCTGCCACCCCAGTCCCTGTGACAAATATGAAGATTTTACAAGATGTACACCTTTTGATTCTTCCTCTCATGCTGCAAAGTTTCATGTTGACCCCTCCCTAACTTTATTGAAGGCCATCACCTGTTGCCATGGTAACTGACATCCCTCTCTGCTTTCACTTCCTCCTCCAGATAAGATGGGAGACACATTGCCCCATCTGCTTCCTACCCTATCTTCCTTTGCTAAGGCTGTGATGACCTGCGCCCTGGCTTTTTCCCTTTGAACAGCTTTTAGATGGTCTAGTCTGCACCTGGCCTTCGCCTGTTGAGAATCTCCTTCAGCACAAGCTGAAACTTCTAGCAGTATCAGCCTGCATAAATCAGATATAGGTCTAACTCAGTGCTAGGCTGTACCAGTCACAGGTGAGTCATCCATTTGGTACATGCATCGTTCAGTTCAAAGAGAATGGTTGACAGGCTCATAACAGTTGCTTTGGTTCATATTTTACCTAATAAAGCTGGTGTCGTTATGACTGCAACAGTGTAAACTAAAAATTCTATGACCATTGTTGATTGATGTCCTGGTAATCAGCTCAGTTAATTTTATTTTCTTTTATAACTATTGCTTAATCAGTATAATCACTATCTTTTGATTTTTGGTATAATCGTAGCATAGTTGTTTTGACTTGATCACTGTTATAATCATTCATTTTCTTCCAGGTTGAACGGTTTTGCAGCTGCTTTAATTTTTTGTTCCTTTTGTGGTTCTCTGTGTAGTGGGGGGTGGGTCCTTTTCAGCGATGATAGTAGAACTGTTGTTAGTCTGCCAGTTATTTTGAATGAACTTTGCTTATGGTTTCAACAATGTCGATGACACTTTCTGTATTGTCTGCCATTTGTTGTGGCCTTTATGTGGTACGGGTTGTTCCTTCTCTTACGGCTCTTTTGTTTGGCGGTCTGTCCTTATCTTATCTGGTGGTTTTTGTGTGTAAGGGGTTGGCTTTTACGGCTACAAACATGTATGTCCTAATCATTTAACTTTTTGGGATGAATTTCATTTAAACAGGGGGGTTTGTTAGATAAATTATGGATACATTATTTATTATTTTATTATTATTTTATTATTTTTTTAAACGAAAGCTTCATCCAGCTCATTTTTCCCTGGCAACAGACAGGCGTTTGACCTTGCCTCTTTCCAATCCTGGCTTCTCAGTAAGAACGCGCTGTGCCAGCGCCCGTTTGTCTCCCTTTCGAAAGTCTAAGGAATGTGTGTAAATGTGTGTGCGTTTTATCATTTATGTGTGTCCTTAATAAATACTCTTTGAGGGCTTTGCCTGATGAGAGTGAACTGACAACCCTTGCGTGGTGTGCATTTATTTTTGCTCTCCCTTTGCAAAGTCTAAATTGTTTGGTTATTGGTAAAGATTGGTATGGGTTAATCGATCGGCTTGTTAATACAACCCCTGCGTGTTGAGCTTTCCTTCAGGTAACCCTGGATGGGAAAATGAAAATACCTAACACAGAGAAGTGGGTGTTTAGGAGCACCTAAAGGTTGAGCTGACACAGTGAGGGTAACAGCAGCTACAGAAACATGATGACCTCTTCCTCTATGTTTGGATCTTGGGACATTTAGGGGATTCTGGGGGTTGTCCTCAGTGTTGTAGATGAAGAGTGCTGTTGCAGACCATCCTGGAGATGAGATGGAGCCAGACTGGGATTGGATCATCCAGAACAGACTTTGTTTCCTGCTCTTTGTGCTCATGTTGTTTCTTTATGTGTGTCAGATGCTCTGAGTGCTTTAATGACTCAACCAGCGACCAGCATGTAGCTTTTAGCAGTTGTGATGGAGAAATGTTTACAGCTAATAAATATGGAGCATTTGTAAATAAAAGAGGCAGAAACAATGTGTGTTTATTTAGCCTTAGTTTCTAGATGAGATGCCTTTTGTTACTCGTTGGCTTTTTCACCTGCTTGTAAAAACTCAGCTTTCCTTTCAGTTAAATGGATCAAAACCAATGAGAGGAGTACAGAATCAGAACCCAGACCAGATCCTAAAGATAGGTTTCCTGAAACAAGGATATGTCACGATGGTCGACTGGGTACGGGAGTTGAGCTTGGTAAAGATGTTTGATATCTGGATTATTCGGTAGAGAACTCTGATCAGGGGTTTCAATGAAACGATGACTGAGTGAAGAGCCGGTGCGGCGTCTTCCATATATAGGCTTGGGTGTGACTGGGAGAATGCCGGGAGTTCCCGCGAGGAGCATGCTGGGAAATGTGGTCCAAGATGGAGCGGGCCGGCTCCCAGGAGCGTTCCTCAGGGCCGTAGTCCGCCCAATCGACCAGATACTGCCAGCCCCGTCCCCTGCGGCGAGCGTCCAGGATGCGCCGGACGGTGTAACTCACCGTTGAGGAAGCGGGCAGGCGGAGGCGCCAGAGCCGGAGGCGGAAGGAGGGAGGATTCCACGTAGGGCTTGAGCCGGGAGATATGGAAGGTGGGATGGATGCGGAAACTCGCAGGCAGCCGCAGCCGGTACGTGACCGGGTTGATGACCCTTTGCACGGGGTAAGGCCCAAGGAACCGGGGAGCGAGCTTCCTGGACCCGGCACGGACACGGAGGTCTGCCGTGGACACCCAGACCTTATCCCCTGGAGCATATGAGGGACCAGGACGGTGTCGGTGGAGGTGTTGGTGAGAGTAACGGGCATTAGCTCGGGTTATGGAGGCCCGCGCCTTTATCCAGGCATTCCTGCAGCGCCTCAGCAGGGATTGGGCGGCCGGCACCGCAACTTTGGGTTCCTGGTGGGCAAAGACCGGGGGCTGGTAGCCATAGCAGACTTCGAACGGGGACATCAGAGTGGCCGAGGAGGTGTGGAGATTGTGGGATAACTCAGCCCAGAGGAGGTACTTAGGCCACTGCGAGGGTTGCAAAGCAGCGGAGGTACCAACCCAGTTGTTGATTTGCTCGCTCCGTTTGGCCGTTGGTCTGCGGGTGATAGCCCAAAGATAGGCTGACTGATGCTCCCAACAGATGACAAAAAGCCCTCCAGAACCGGGCCGTGAACTGGGGACCACGGTCCGAGACCACGTCGACAGGAAATCCATGGAGACGCACCACATTCTCCAGGAACAACTCAGCTGTGCGTTGGGCCGAAGGGAGGCCCGGAAGGGCGATGAAGTGAACAGCCTTAGAAAACCGGTCAGTGACTGTCATGATGGTATTAAGGTCGTTGACTGGTGGGAGCCCTGTGACGAAGTCCAACCCCACATGGGACCAGGGGCGGCTGGGTACCGGAAGAGGTCTGAGGGTACCAACCAAGGCCTGGTTGGATGTCTTGGAGCGGGCGCAGACATCACAGGCACTCGTATAGTCCTTTACATCTCTCTCCATACGTGGCCACCAGAGAGCTCGTTTGAGGAACCTAAGAGTCCATGAGAAGCCCGCGTGGCCAGACAGGCGTGATGAGTGGGTCCAGGACAATGCCTCGCTGCGACAGGCCGTGGGGACGTAGAGCCGACCCGCGGGGGTCTCTGGAGGCACGGGATCGTCTCGGAGGGCGTTTTGGATAGCCTCCTCCAGTGGCCACCTCAGGTGGGCCAAGAAACGGTGCTCGGGGAGGATAGGTGCTGGCTCGGACGTGGGCGTTGGATGTGTGAACTGGCGGGAAAGGGCGTCCGCCTTCTGGTTCTTTGTCCCTGGGTGGTAGGCGAGATGGAATTCATAGGGCTGAAAGAAGAGGGCCCAGCGGGCCTGGCGAGGATTGAGCTGCTTGGCTGATCTGATGTGAGTCAGGTTCTGGTGGTCCGTCCAGATGGTGAACGGCTGAGTGGTGCCCAGAAGCCACTGCCTCCATTCCTCCAATGCCCACTTTATGGCCAGCAGCTCACGATCCCCTATGCCGTACTTCTGCTGGGTGGTGGAAAACTTCCTGGAGAAGTAGGCGCAGGGATGAAGCCTGTCGTCGGGCCTGGCTTGGGACAAGATGGCACCGGCGCCAACGTCGACCTCAACCACAAAGGGGACTGCATGATCCGGATGGCGGAGGATAGGAGCTGACGTGAAACGGGCGACTAGGTATTGGAAGGCCCGAACGGCGTCTGGAGTCAGCCGGAACTGTTGGCTGGGAGGGCTTGGTCGGGTGAGAGAAGTGAGAGGTGCCACAATGGTGCTAAAGTCCTTAATAAAACGGCAGTAAAAGTTGCAGAAACCCAGAAAACTCTGCAGTTGTTTCAGGCTTGTCGGGAGGGGCCAGTCTCTCACCGCCTGGACTTTCTGAGGGTCCATGGTTAGTCCTTTATCCGAAATCATGTGGCCCAGGAATGATACGGACCGCTGGTGGAAGGAGCACTTCTCGGGCTTACAGAACAGGTTATTGTCCAGGACCCGGATTAGAACAGCGCGAA